GCAACTGGTACTGTCGCTGTGAGGAACCCCAGCTCAGGAGTCAAAGAGTTCAGTGCCCTGGAACAAAGCAGGTGTCTTATTAATATGCATTAGGAATAGCTAATGGGTGCTCCACAACATTTTCAATAAAAATACACACTGCTGCTCCAGTTACATAAAGATGTCAGTGGGAATGTGTGCATGATGGGCCCTCACCTGGAATTTGCGTTGTTTAACAAGAAAACATACCACATACCAGCTAGAAAAATCTCGTGTCTATAACACCACTTTTGAGACTTCTGTGGGTCTTACTGAGTTTACCATGTTGATGGATTTTCTTACTAGCCATATTGATGATGCTGGAAGAATTTTATATTCCTTTGATGTTTGAATTTGGGTTGGGGGTCTGATCTTGGCTCATTGTTTGTTACTATTAGATACCACACTTGGAGCTTGGTCAGTATCCAATCAGATCTAGATCTGAATTGCTAACTTTCTAAATGTTGATAGACCAGATCTTCCATGTTAGGAAGCCTACTTTATGAGTCCACTCCTTAGGTGCTTATCAGTAAAGGAGGCCCCTGGCGGTGAACTAACAGGACCCTGCATGAGAACAAGATCACTGTGTGTCTGCTGCAGGATGTGTGTGTCTGCTTACCCTGTATTCTTTAGAAATTTGCTGACCTGTCTTACACAGAACAAACCACATCTACATTCTCTCTCTGTCTCTCTCTGTCTCTGTCTCTCTCTGTCTCTGTCTCTTTCTCTCTCTGTCTCTGTCTCTCTGTCTCTGTCTGTCTGTCTGTCTGTCTCTCTCTCTCTCTCTCTCTCTCTCACACACACACACACACACACACACACACACACACACACACACACACATACACAGAGCAGCCATGTGAGGTGTTGCTGAAGTACGCCAAGTCTTAAAATAATAACTACAGACCATCACAGCCTGCACCCTGCAACCTGCCCCGTCTCTTCCTCATAGACAGCAGCTCATTACCTACATGAAGCAGTAAGATGTGCATGCAGCGGTCCAGGGCCTGCAGGACCCTTGCACTTAGCATGCCTTCTGCGACTACTCCAGAGGACAGGCAGTGTCTGTGGTCTTAGAATCCCTGCAGCTGATGCCTCTTTAGCTTCACCTGTGCTTATGTTGTGAGGTTTTCTAAGCCTCACACAAGTATAGATAGACCCCGTATCAGTATTAAAATCCCCCTACACACACCTCTCAGCTTGAGGCACCGGAAGGCTCTGGAGAACATGGCACACTGCCTAACTGCAGAGCTCCCTTAGGGCAGGGGTAGGCACCCATCCCTCTGGTGCATCAAAGCAGCACTTACAAACACTTGGAAGAATTTTATATTCCTTTGTCGTTTGAACTCCACACTTTTGGAGCTTGGTCAGTAGCGTCCCTAGCATGCCGGGCTGCGGGGCTGTGGTTAGAAAGAATACATGCACCAAGAATCCCACAAGGGGGCGCACACTCCACAGCTCAGAGGGAGACAAACCAGAACAGCCAGCCAAGGGCAAACAAAAACTCTTCTTTTTTGTTTCTTCTGTGTTTTTTATTTTCTTTGCCTCTATTTCTTATTTAAATAGGGTTTCTTTTTTCGTGTGTGTGTGCATTATATGTTATATCTGAGAGACAAATATAAGTTCTATTCCTGCAGATTGAGATTTAATGAAAGCCGCAGTATGCCATAATTGCTTGCCTTCAACTTAATTTAAATTATTTCTGTGGGGTTAGCCCCCGAAAGGTTAGGCTTTTAAATCTGAAGAAGAGATTCTTAAGCTCCCTCCCGCTGACTGATCATGGGGAGGATTATGGGATGCTTCCTAATGCTTCTCAGCAAAGGCCAGGCTTTCAACTGTGCTGAAGAACAGTCATTTGACTGAGAGCAGGTGCCCCGGTCCTCACCTCCTGTGAGAGAAAGAGAGCTGAGTCACTGTGGTTTGAACTTGTGATGGCTGCAAACACCTGTCACGGGAGAGCTGAGCAATTAACTCCCGGGGGGGGGGGGGTGTTCTCTGCTGAGTGGTTATCAGGGGGGCTGAGCTGAATCTGAAGGCTTTTCATGGAATTTTTTTTCTCAGGTAAAGAAAAACTTCAGAGTCACTTAAAGGTGACTCTCCACGATTTCATGGCATGTGAACTTTTGTTCAGTCACTGGTTTTAGGCCAGGGAAAATGGATGGTATGTGAGACCTATGCATGAAAACTGCACCATTGTCATTGGGGTTGTGTTTTGTAGCTTTTTCACTTAAATATTATTTTGGAGGTTGTATCACGAAGCTTTGTGAGTCACTCCGCCCGCAATGTCAATAAGCAGCTATATGTGGGAATGTTGAACAAATGTCTTTGCATGTGTTATGTGAATGTGTCTTAAAAAGTGAGATTTCTGTACAAGCTTTAAATGGGTGCGCTCGTTATATATGGAGGCATCGCTTGCTCTTGGCTCCGTGGTTGATAGCGGAAGCTTTTGAGATAATATGAGCCATCTTTGACTGAGGGCTTCCTACAGGGCAATGGTTACTCTCGGTGGCTGTGAAAGTCACCCTTGATGTCACCAGGGTGTGGATGAGCTGAGTGAGAGCTGCAGGGCAAAGCTGATAGGGGCGTGCCAGGCCTCCCAGCTCTCAATTATCTGTGTCAAAGTCTGTTACACTATTCCGGTTGGAAATACTCCGCGTCATCTCAGACTGCATGCTCAACCTGGAAGAGAATCAACTTCTTAACTCTTCTTCGCCCACCTTGCTGTCGACAGCAGTAACCACTGCTCAAATATGAGGGTGAACTCGCAGAATAAACCAGAGGTCAAAAGGACCACACAAGGGGTGAGACACATGTCTGTTAGCAAAAAAAAAAAGGAATTTCTGGTGAGATTTCCAGGAACAAATCATATTCAATCAGAACAGGAGAAATGTCACATATACTTAGGATGTAAGCATGCTTCCTTATGATTTTATCATTCTTATTTGAAGCACTCTTATATAAAAATAGAGTGAACTCAGTGAGTGTAAATAAAACAGGGCGCATGAAGTTGAGAGAGAAAAGCACTGAGGGAGTAGAGGAGAAACTGTGTGGTTGGATTTTATCAAAACCTGTTATATCATGGCCGCAAAGGCCAGGCTACATGGCTCTGTGGCAGAGGATTGTTGACCTACCCTCCAAGTCCCTCCAGCTGCTGACTCAATTTTACTGAAGCTGATACTTTACTAAGTGGAACAGATAAGCCCACTGAATCCTACTGCGCGTGTGTATTCCAGTCATGGAAAGAGAAAGTCATTCCTGGGTCAGAACAGGGCTCAGCAATAATCTTGCTTTCCCCGTCAGTGAACTCACTGTCCTGGGCTTGGCATGCATTAACTGTGCGTTTGGAGTACCCGGGGAATCTGTCTTCAACTGCTTACTTACTACTCCCAAATCCAAAACTTTCTGAAAACCAAACATTTACCTACGACTTACGTGGTGGTGGAAAGCCAGGCCTGGCCTGAACTTGCTCATCAGTACACTCTAAACTGACATGAGACCCAGGTGGTTTGAACCTTTGTGTATCTGTCTGGGAACACTCAAGCAATTCATTCAGGATTAAACTCTTTGACTAGAAGATGCTGCCCCAGATCTACCAGGGATGAAAACACTGCTTTAACTTTGGAAAAATGTGGATTCCAGAATGAGCTTTGCCTTTAGTAAAGCAGAGGGCTGCTGTAGCACAGCTGTGTGGGTCCAAACCAGGGTAGGGACTGGCTTTCCCTGTGTTCAAGATGCCTGTCACCTCAGGACCCCAGCGGAGCCCTGGCTGGTGGAGCTCGGCAGATCCAATTTACCTCTGAACAGGAGGCTCCCGCTTCCTCCCTCCTCACCTCTCAGTTTCTGATAGCTCTTCTCTCTCTCTCTCTCTCTCTCTCTCTCTCTCTCTCTCTCTCTCTCTCTCTCTCTCTCCCCTCCCTCCCTCCCTCCCTCTCTCCTTATTTCTTAGAAGTATAGATCTATTTCATGGTCTGAAAATTACAGGACGCTAGATGGGCACAGATAGAGTGAACATTCAGTTTACTCTGCTGGTCATTGTGACTGGGTAGGTAGATGGAGATTTGGCTTTCAGCAATTGAGAAGGGCAAGGGCATGGCTGCTGGGTGGCCCACTGAGATTTTGCAAGATCATGTTCATAGCTCATATCTGTGTGTGTGTGTGTGTGTGTGTGTGTGTGTGTGTGTGTGTGTGTGTGTCCTTTCAGACCTTGCTATGTGGCTCTAGCAAAGTGTCAGACCAGTGACTAGTCCCATCTGCTCAGTGGCCACTCATTCATTTGGGTAATGGTTGCAGTTTTTTTTTCTCTAGATGGGACACTTTGCCACTGCGCTGGGCATCTACACTGCTCTATCTGCAGCGCCTCCCTCTGAGGATGGAGTGGAATAACCCTTCCCCTTTGTGTATTAGTTTGAACTTCTTGGAGCCCTGGTGGGCCACCAACCACACCCCAGCCCACTTCTTCTGTGTCTAGGTCTTAAAACATGGAAGCATCTTTCGGAGCCTCCATGTATCCCTAGGACTCCCCAGTCTTCACAGTAGAGAGGGTTCTCTAAGTGACCAGAACTGGCAGAATGTATCTATTACAAAAGGAGACATCTGGATTGGCTTACATTGTATGTGCAGGGTCTTCCAAGGATGGATGTCCTGACTTGGAAGGCCTGGAGGACTCTGGGAGAGCCGCTTCAGTCCACACTGGGAAACCGAAGGAGTTGGGTTCTAATGTCAGTGAAGGGCAGTGGCAAGCACTAAAACCTCAGGGTGGGTGCCCCTCCCCCATCCAGGAGCGAAGGCAGACAGTGCTGCTTCTCTCCTGTCTCCTGTCTGGGCTGCCGCCCTAGGGCAGAGTCTTGGCCCTAAGTTAATGTTTCCTAGAAAGGCACTCAAAGGCCTGTCCAGAAGCAGGTCTCTTTGTTGACTCCAAATCAAATGCAAGCGACAGTCAAGAGGAACTTCCACAGTCTTGGTAGCCTGGGGCACACAGGGACTGTCTTGGTTAGTGTTTTATTGCTGTGAAGAGACACCATGGCCAAGGCAACTCTTACAAAGGAAAGCATTTAATTGGGGTTGGCTTACAGTTTCAGAGGTTTAGTCCATTACCATTATGGCAGGCAACAGGATATGTGAACGTCACACTAGTCCTGGCTTGAGCATTTGAGGCCTCAAAGCCCACCCCACAGTGACACACTTCCTCCAACGAGGCCACACCTCCTAATCGCGCCACTCACTATGGCCAAGCCCTCAAACACATGAGTCTGTGGGCGCCATTCCTGTTCAAACCACCACCGGTACCGTGGGGCACAGTCAGAGATAACCACTTTCCTTTGTCCTGTCTGTGTGACCACATTGCCAAAGCTCATGTCGTGACAGAGCTGTCCGCTGAGCCCACCTGTGCAGTCACATGGCCACAGCTTCTACTACTGTCAACATTCAGAAGGCGAGGTCTTCAGTATGGGAGACTGTCTACAACCCATGAATATGCAGCCGTAAGCACAGTCCGTGAATATTCAGTGGCACATACATGTGAGCTGCCCCCTCAAAGCTGCATGCTCAGTAGCTAAATGCAGTTGAAATGAGAACAGGTCTCCCCAGCAGAGTAGTTCAGAAGTATTTCTCTTCTCTAGGCCAAGGCAGACCACTCAACACGTGAGTGAGGATTCTCTCACTCAAGACCAAGTGTGTGCCTGAGGGCTCCCCAGATCACCACTGCTCTTGAAGAAGCTTTTCCCCATTGGTGTCATACAGAGAATGGTGGGGATAGTGTGTGTGTGTGTGTGTGTGTGTGTGTGTGTGTGTGTGTGTGTGTGTGTATTTGGTTTTTCAAGACAGGGTCTCTCTATGTAGCCCTGGCTGTCAGACTGGCCTCGACCTCACAGAGATCTGCCTATCTCTTCCTCTCAAGTGCTGGGATTAAAGACATGCACCACCACTGCCCAGCTTGGAGTTAATATTTTTATGGAAAGATTACAGATTAACAGTTAGGATTTTCAAACACACAGAGGGATTGGACTCCAGTATATTCCTTCCATGCTTCTGTGTGGGCACCCCACTGTGATTCTGCCCAGGGACATGCTCAGGGCTGAATCAAGCGTCAGAGCTTTGAATGCCCGTCTGTCAAGTTGATGACTGACATATCTGAGTTACTGAAGTCCATTGTATCTTTTGATCAACAGATGTTGCATCTGAGCAGATATTGAAAGGAAGTAGAGAGGCATCTGAGCAGATATTGAAAGGAAGTAGAGAGGCAGGGCCCCAGGGACCTGGGTCAGAACTCCCAGCAAGTCCCTCTGGGCCCGCTGCTGGCCCCTCTTCCATTCCCATTGGGCCACATGAGTAATATCACGTTCAACAAGATAACAACAACAGAATAAAAACAGATAGTTATTAAACACTCCTGTAAAAATGTCTGCTCCCATTCCCTAGAGTCAAACTTCATCTGAGGGGTTTAAAATACATTGTCATTCTGTGATAGCCAGTGGAGAGGAAAAAAAAAAATGAGGATTTTCCACAAGTCTGACTTGTTTAATTACAATGAGGAGGAGTTTGTCAGCTTGACCTGAAGTGGGGAGGCGGGCTTAGTACTTATTCTGTATGTTTTAGAGGACTCCCTCAGGCTTACATCAACTGTGTGGGTCATAAGTTTGGCTGCTACAGAGTCCTGGGATCAGGTATATGTGTTTACACACGTGCATGTCTAAACTGAAGTTACATACTTAAAAATCAGAAGTTACTACTTTTGATCCTTCAATCTATAGCTGGACCTGGGGTCTTGGGACTGAAATCAGCAAACCCACTGTTGGTCTGACTGAGTCGGCATAAGGCTCAGCACACCTCTGTTCCAGCTGTATCCAGCCCAGGAAGTCAGGCAGCTCTCCGAGGCTGCAGATAAGAAATGTAGAACAGCATAATTGGTACTTACGTCTTTATCAAGTGTTCGACAGCAAGAGAATTTAAATAGATATGTTTAATAAATAAGGTAATCGATAAACATTAAAGCTGTACCTCAATGCTTTTGTACACAAGAATATACCTTGCTCTGGCAGCTGAACATTATAACTTAAGATTTAGCAATGTAATAAGATGATAATGATTTTTAAAGACATGAAGAGATCATGGGGAACAGCTGATGTTTGCAAATGTATGGCAGGGCTAGAGTTCCAAAGAGAGTCCAGTTGCAATGGTGGACCTTAGCAGTTTTGGAAATGCCAATGACAAGTGATGATCATCAGAAACACCAGCCACAATGAAGTGGAGCAGGTTGAGATCTAGAAGGCAGGCTATGTGTGTGCTGCCAAGGGTAGGGTCAAAGAAATGATCCAAGCCTCTAAGTAAAAGAACCAAAAGGAATGTGAATAAATTCCAGATATTGAACTTTGGGATTGTTTGCACTCTGGAGCTTGGTTTTACTTTATACAGATTGTGGTTATGGCATGTTTTCTCCCTCGTAAAGTGAAAGAAGGTGCTTTATTGTTGATATTGCAGAAAGACATTTGAGAGATTTTAACCTTTTAAAGAACAGTTTTTAAAAAATATTTAAATTTAGAAGGCTGTGGGACATTTTAAGTTTATAAAATGCTCTATCTATATTGCTAATACTTGGACTTAAAAGAGAAGGCTAAAAATTAGGGTCCCAGCCATAAGCACCAAATACTAACCAGAAACTGGGATGTTCCTTTCTTGTGATGCAGCAAGACAATGGCCTAAGCAGTTTGGCTAAGGCTTGGAACAGCGTCTGACTCCATGAATCTTGACCCTTGTGGGGTTGAAAAAAACCTTTTTACAGGGGTCGCCTGGGACCACCTGTATGTCAGACGTTTGCAACTGAGAGTCAGAACAATGGCGAAACTGCAGCTATGAAATAGCAATGTGAAAAAATTGTAACGGGGGTCACCACAACATGGGGAACTGTACTGAAAGGTCAAAGCATTGGGAAAGTTGAGAACCAGTGACATGAAGAGTATTTCTCCTTACCCAAGGTCCCTTCAGGCTTAAGAATGTTGTCTAGCCTCCTTGTGTTTGCTAAATTTGTTAAGCTTAAGCTATTTGAATAAACTGAATCATATAAATGTTTTAAAAAGAAAGAAATGTAGAACAGCATATTTGGTGGCATGCCAGGCGTGTGGGAGCCCATCTGACCTTACTCTTGCGAGTTACAAACACTCACCCACCGGAAGCTCAGCTTTGTTTAGGGATACAACCCGTGAGAGGCTACCCATGTTCCAGTGGGTCCTATACCCGAGCACATGCAAGCATCATGCTTAGATTGCTGTGATAAAACACTGCCACCAAAGCATCTTATAGAAAGGTTGATTTGGGCTTGTGATTCCAGAGGGATCAGAGTCTATCACCGTCATGGCATGGAAGCATGGCAGCAGGCGGGCACAGCGGCTGGGCAACAGCAAAGCAAGCTGGGGGTTCACATCTTCAACTGCAACCACAAAACAGAGAACACGCTTTGAGAAACCGCAAATCCCATCCCAGTCATGTAGGGAAACAGCAGCAGCACCTGGGGACCAAACGTTCAAGGGCCCAAGACTGTGGCGACATCTCACTCAGCCCACCACAGTGAACTCCGTGGACTTTAAATACGCAGAGCTCATGAGATTGGGAGAGAAAGGTGGTGGGGGGACAGGGGAGGAATTGTGGGAGAAGGAATGGAGGATGGCTTTCCTCAACACAGGAAGGTGGCCAGGCCTTGTGGCTCTGAGGGAGGCCCCTCCAGCTACTGACTCATGGCAGCTTCAGTGGGGGTGGATTTTGTGCAGACCAATGCTTTGCTAAGAAGGTAAACCCACTCAACCCTAGACACGTGTTCCTTCCCGTTACGGCGGCCACACTTGGAAGCAGCACCTGGCATGAGGACCTCTCACAAAGGTGATGCCTGCCACAGAGGAGATACACACTACATTTCTCAACCTCAGTGCCCTGGTGGGAATGCTCCCCATTCCGCCTCCTCCATTCGCCCAGAGAAACTGGGTGGTTTGGGAACACAGTGGGGATATTAAAAGGGAAACACAGACCTCAGGGAGCAGTAGAGTCATCGGAGTCCCCAGTGAGACAGTCGGCTAGGTGACAGCTGTGGTTAACAGTCCGGCTGCTGGAGAAAGACCTCTGCAGAGGTGCAGGCAGTGAGCAGATAGTGCAAGGTCCTGGAGTCTCCCTGGCTGTGCGGCACTACCTAGAGGGAGGCTGGCAGGTGAGAGGAACCTGAACCCACGCTCCATGCAGGCTTGCTACCCCCCACCCCTCCCTCTGCAAGCCTGCCTTCTCCTATCTCTCCAAATGTGCCAGGCTTCTTGGCCAGGGTGCTGCACCCACAGCCTTTTCCACACACTTTCCATCCTGGTTGGCAGTTGCAGAAATCTCCGAATTCAGGTGGAGCCTTCTGCCATCTCTGCTTTTTCACTCACGTTCACCGCAGCTTCTGCTAAGCTCATCCGTGAGTGTGCATGGACGTAATTGTGTTTTACATAATTTACCCTCTGCAAGGTCTCCCCCAGCCGGCAGGCAGGCAGGTTGCTCTGGGCTGTGGGGACCTAAGTAGATACACTGCGTGCCACACAGGCATCACATGTCATTTGTCAAATGTGTACCTGGTTGTGACAGTGGCTTTTCTTTTGCTATTGAGCTTTCTGGGCCACAGGAAGCTCACAGAGTCTCACAGGCTATAACAAAGCTCTGCCCCCTACCAGTTGAGGATATATGTTAATGCAATCAATAATCGTATTGTTATACACAAGAAATTTACTTGGGTAGGAGGTGTGTCTGTTTCAACCTGACCAGACAGACATATACCACACTCAAGATGTACAGAGGGGCCCGGGGAATTGTGGTAGGTTTTTATGTAAAAATAAATAAGCTACCTATATCATTAGTGTGCATATTTCATTTCCATTTCAATAAATGATTAAATTCATACCAAAGATACATTTTATGAGAAATTTCTTTACATGATGTATTGGAAAATGCTTAATTTGTATACTTGTTTTGTATACTTCTACAAATACCTAGAGTAGCATCAAAAGTTCCTGGCTGAAGTGGGGTTATGAATGGAAAGGATTAAGAAGCCCAACTCTAAAGACTCATGGGCTCACATGGCCACATGGAAGAGCAGCTGGCATGGCAGTTCCTAAGCTGTCCTCAGACAGGACCAAGTGATGCCTTCTGTACCTGCATGGCCATGTCCTGCAAGGGTCCTTTCCATGCTGAAGGATAAAGTCTGAATTGTGTAGTTCTCATGGGAAGTCGGGGCTCCCTCTGCAGAGCAGCCTACTTCTGGAGCAGCTTCCTCCGCTCTGTAGGGTGAGCAGCTTGGCATCACCCTCTCCTGCAAACTGTACATCCCTGGGATTCAGTTTGGAAGTTGCCAGGATAGAAAAACTCGGAAACGCACTGCTGTAGGCATTTCGGGCTATCTAAAGGCGCCCCGTTGGCTTCTCTGTCTGTCCCTCTTCAAGCTGGTCCCTTCCCGGTCAGCCACGGCAGCTCTCCTCCAGCTGCCCCTCACCGGTGACTCTCCAAGAGCCTCCCCCTCTCTTCCTCAGAGTGTAGCTGTGTGCCTCCTGCTCTCCATGGCCACCCCTGACCTGTCACCATTGTCCTTCCACCTTCTGAACACAGAGGTACCATGTGCTAGTGTGCACTGAGGCACTCACTGTGGCCATGTGTGGGCTGCGTGACTCCTCCCAGGACCGCTCACTGTGGGGTTCAGAACCCTGACCTAGCTCTGTGTGCTGAAGTACCTCCGTCATGAGTATCACGTAGTGAGCATGGAAGAGAAGGACAGAACAAACGAACACACACCATTCTGCGTGCATGTGTCAATATCTAGTTTAGCACAGGGGCCTGAAGTTTTAAAACTCATGCCATTGGAGGCAGCTGGTCAGCACATTGCCAGGTGCACCCATTTAACCAAATCTGGACGATGTGGGCCTTACCTTGGAGGTGATGCCATACTGTCTCATCCCTGTTTCCTCCCTGAATTATCTTTGATGTTTTCACCTCATCTCACCCTGCACTTCCCTCTGGGTAATTTCCATGGTAGTACCACATGGCTCATCCTTCCTAAGTAGATGCTTAATTCATATTCCAAATATTCATTTTAGTGACTTAATTTACACTTCTGAGAGTTATGTTTTGCTCTTTCTAGAGTCTGTTTTTCTCTTAAATATTGTTTCTTGTCCATTTTCTTATACCCCCAGTCCACTTTATTTCTACAGGAGTCTTAAACATGCTTTTTGTATGGTCTGTGGCTTGCCATCTTATGTGAAATCCTGAGGTTGCTTGGTACCTTTGCCACTGGTCGCCCAAAGAGGTTGTTCCGTATCCTGTAACTTAGGGTGTGGCATGTTGTGGCAGTTGGTTTTCATCTTTAACTTGCCATACTTTAAAATCAACTGGAAAGAAAGTCTCAGTGTGAAATTAGATTAGGTTGACTTGACTCCCCCGCCCCAATAATGGACAACAACCTGGAACTGGGAGCTGATAAATATTTTCTCCCCTGAGTGGCTGTAGGTTGGGAGATTTTTATCACAGCGACAGAAATGAAGCCAGGACACATGACATTGCTAAGTACCTGGCTGGGAACCTTCATGGCCCGTGCGAAGGGGGGGTTCTCCAGAGATATTTTCCATTGGTTGGTCAGCCCTCCAGACCATTTCATGTCGACCCTCAGCTTAGAATGGCTAGCATATCACTTAAGTTTGAATACCTAGAAACAGGAAAAGGCCAGTGGTGGGTTTGACTCCTCTGGGGCAGATGTTGATGTAGCCATCAGCATCTACTCCAGGGTAGCATCTCTGCCCTCTGCCTGGGTTTTGCAGATCGCTGAGGCCCAGCACCTTGGTTGTAAGCCTAATGAATTTCTAGGCTAGTGATATGCTCTTTCCCTACATGGCCATTCAAAGCAGAACCTTGGGGTAGAAGAAACAGAATAAGAAGATCCTGTGCACATTAAGGAACAGGTGCAGCCTCCTTGGGCAGCTAAGTGGTCCCTTCTGTCCATAGATGCTTGTTCCCTTTCTAAAAGCCATGGGTGCAGGTGAGTTAGTCTACAGTGTCTCAGAATTGAACTAACAAGGCATTCTGGGTTAATGCCCTTCCTAGTTAAAGAAATGAAGATATTCTTTTCTTAATTATACATTCTAAGTGGGTAATGCTCTTGGGTTGTTTTAACTTGCCTGGGCTGCCTGTTAATACTGATGGGATATCTATGAGTCTGTGTGTGCTCGATTATTATTGACAGGGAAGTATGCTGCAGATAAGTGTCCTGTACTAGCCCACGAAATGGACCTCACTAAATTTCACTCCAGCAGCCTGTCTGTCAAATTCTAAGTGTACCTCTGTGCATTCGTGAGACATCCCTGGAAATGGCTGAGCCAGACCTTCAGCTTGTCAATAGATTATTAACCTGGCATGTCCAGGGGAAATAACACGCCTACAATGTCTACAGAAGGCCCTGGGTGGCACCGCTCACAGTTCCATCACCTGCCCTGGATGACCCACCCTGTGTGTGATTTGCATAACATCTGTGTGCCACACCCAGGACAGACTGCCTTGCCCCAAGCACGCTGTGATGGCTCACCTGTTCAAACGTTCTGTGGTAAACACAACGGCACGGCACGCAATGGGGACTGGTTCTTTTCCTTAATTGCCGTCTCACCCCTGTGGTGTGTTCTCCTAATTGTCTCTTGCCAGCTCAGGGAAAGAATGCCCGTGTTTTCCCTGTGTCCTCTAGCCGTGGAGCTGCTGCTCGCCTGTGAGTTTGAACAGTCAATTAAAAACAGAGTGTGAGCCCTGCAGACAGCGGAGAAGGCACCAGGTGACTGACGGGGGGAAAGTGACAATGAAGGGGGAGAGGAAGCCAGGAAGCTTTGATGTTAACTAAGTAAGTAGGTTACACGGGAGTAAGAAAGCGGAATAAGAAACTCGACCTTTGAACTGTGACAACACAGCCACAATGAACTACTCACATCTGCTTTCGGGCGCCTGCTCATCTCCCTCTTTTCTGAATAAGGTGTGTATGCTTGCTCTTCTCCCTTGAGATAAACACTGACCAGCAGAGAAGGTGGTCAGTATCTGAGGAGCAGAAGTCACTGGACCCCAGTATCACAGAGAAGACCTTCAGAGTGAGCCCCACTTCCCAGGACGTAGTTCGGGAATCTCAGCCCATGTTACACAGTAGACCACTTCTAATGACGCTTCCTATGAGGGCTCATTTGTAGGACATTCTCCTCAACTTTGGGCTCCCCCACTTTAAGTTCTGTTATTTAGCATGGACTTCAGCTGCACAAGGCTTGGTGTGCATGGCTCCTTGGGAGAAGGGCTCTGACAAGGCCTGCACTGGGTGAATGACCGGGTAGAGTTTGTAGACTATAGAGTCTGAATCCATGTAGGGTGAAAGGAAGCCAGATAGGAGAGGTTGTGGTCAGTGGCATGGGGTGAAGCTCTCTCTAGCTCCTGATCCTATCCCTGCGCGTCTGAGAGACATGTCATGGTGATATGGCCAAACACCACCAAGAGACTCATCCGGAACCTGAAAATAGGCACATGCCTCAGCTCGTCCCCTTGCAGAGTCTTCTCTAGGCATGGATTCTGTTGAGAGACACACCCTGTCACAGGTGCTGTGTAGCTATGAAGTGGTGTACGTCACGTGGTGAGGCTACGGCACAGGTGTCCTCTTTAACTCAAAGCAAACTGATTTTGCTTTGTTCAATTGACTCAATTTTATGAAATACATAGAGGCCAACTTAGTTTTACATTCATACAACAGGCTATTTTTTGTGGATTCCTTGGCACACATATAGCCCATTGTGAATTTGTAGTCCGCACAGCCCATCCCTTGCCCAGAGCCTGCGGGACCCCGGGGCTGCCTTTCACATCCTGCTCAGCAGGTGAACCACCAAACATTCTGACTGAAGATCTGCTTCCCAATCCTTCGTTTATTGTTTCAAGTGGTAATTCTATTATCTGGCTGTTTTTGCTCTGGCTTGTGTAACACAATTATTACAAGGAATACATTTGCTCAAAGCACTCTCGCGACTCTGAGTTCACCTCCCTTAAAAAGGTTTTTCGTTTGTTTGTTTGTTTTTTTCAGTGTTGAAGAATCCCAGGCTTGCAAAGCCTCTAGGAATGTGCTGCCCAGGCAGCACATTTGAAGACCTGAGAGTGTCTCACCCATCCTGATGAAATGTACTTAGTTTTTGCTTAAGCTGGTCTCATCTGAACATGTCCCAGCGTATCAGAGTCTAGATAAACCAAGACCACACTTTAAATATTGATGTGTCCTCTTAGACTTAAATGATCATCACTATCCCGTACTCAACACACAAGTCTCCACAGTGCACAACTGTATGTATTCTGTGCCTGTAGCAGATATCTTGACCCTCCTTTATGGCTGAGCTGCTTACTGTCTGAGGGCAGTTAGGCACTTCATTGACCTCTGGGTCCCCATGAGTCACAGCCCTTGGCCCACATAGAAACACAGTTTCTGTTGTCTTAACTGAAACTTCATCATTTTAGATCAGCAGTGTATATCAAAGACATGGGATCGTGTCAGACATGAACTTACAGTTTTCAGCTTCTCTATGCAGACCTTCTTCCCTTGAGAATCACAGAATGCTAACCTTACCTGTATTCTAGAAAAATCCTATCATCCCTCATTTTGTCTTAAAGTTTCCATGTTATTTAGTGATGGGGTAAGATGCCCTGCTTTATTCAGGGTTCACTGGCGTAGGAAGCATAGTTGACCAACATTCAGCATCTGTGGGTTGATGAACACTCAAAGTCATATGATGAGATGCCCACTCAGTGGTAGAAAAATAGATGCAGAGATGAAGGTGTGAAGGCACTTTCCCAGGTGTGCATGGTGCCGCTGTAAACACTGCGTTTCCAGGAGGAGTTGACGGTCAGAGGTGAAATGTCACCTTTGACAGCTCTTTATCACAAGCCTGTCAGCGCGACATGGACTCTTGTAGTGTGTACAAGATGTAAAATAACATCATTGCCCATCATTAGGCCTTAGTTGGCATCCTATCCTGATCTGGTTCATCATAGAGATGAAGCAGGATCCTGTTAACACAGCATCAGCAGCATTTCGTGTGCATGTGTGTATGGCGAACGCCTGTGTCTTTGTGTGCACACATGGATAGAAGACAGAGGGCCATGGCAAGTACTGTTTTTGATTTCTCTCCACCTTTTCTTTGAGTCAGGGTCACTCACTGAACTTGGAGCTCAACCGTTGTGTAGACTGGCTGGGCAGTGAGCTGCAGGAACCCTCCCATCTCTGCCTCCCTGGTATTAGAGTTGCAGGTGCCTGCTTCCACATCTGGATTTGGGGGTGGTACCAGTGACCCTAACTCAAGTCCTCACGACTGAATAGCAAGTATTTTACCAACTGAGTCATCACCCAGTCATTTCCACAGCCCCATCATCAGCAGTTGAAATGCCTCACGCTGTCTCATTTCCTGAAGCGGATTTTGCTTCATATGGCTAAATGTGTGGTTGGTGACACAGAGCAGAGGTTTCATGTGAGCGAGGAGATGTCCCATATGGAGGAAAGTTGGAATTGTGAAGGACACTCAAGGTAGTAGGAATAATGGATGTCAGCAAATCTGCTGACAAGAGTTCTGAGCCAGGATAATTCAAACAGGGTGAGGCACAGGGTCGACCTCACCATGGCTGCTGTCGGCCAAGCTTGGCTCCCTTGATGTCCCCTCTCTCCAGCACCACATCCGGATACCTTCCTTTGAACAGGCTTGTAGCAGGAATGCTCATCCATTGTCCACCCATCCTTTTTCCCAGGACAGAGTTTCCCTGGCTGTCCTGAAACTCTCTCTCTGCAGAGCAGGCTAGCCTCACACTCAGAGATCCACCTGCCCCTGCCTAGGGAGTACTTAGATGAAAGGCATGCACCACCATGCCTGGCTTCCATCTAGCTTACCCCTAAACTCGACTTCTTAAGGACATTGCCTTTTGGTGTCCAGGAAGAAAAGGAAGCAGAATGGGACCTTTTCACCTGGATTTGAAAACCGGACTGATTTTTCATTGGTGAGTGTGCGTCGTCTTCATGAAAGCTGATGTTCCATGACCACTGTTTGGTTCTCAACCTTCCTAATGCTGTAAACCTTTAATACAGTTCTTCATGTTGTGATGACCTCCAGCCATAACATTATTTTCATTGATACTTCACAACTATAATTTTAGTACTATTATGAATAGTAATGTATATATCTGATATGCGACCCCTGTGAAGGGGGTCATGACCCACAGGTTGAGAACCATTGCTTTAGTTTTAGCCCATGATGAGATGAAAGAGGAGAGGGGACTGAAAGACACGAATGGGACTGTGGAGACATCTCGAGTCCACAGGACCAAGAATCTACTGACATTTATTTCTAAGGAAACAGATTGTGTTACACTTGAAGACTGAAGATAATTTTGACATTTAATGTGCATCTGAGTTTAATCACAGTTTTCCTCATTTATTATTTTGTTAACATTTTAATGGCTGTGATTGACAAAGAAGATTCTCAAATGATTTCCTAAAGAAGAGGAGCCTGGCACTGGGGTGGCGTGATGGTGAATGAGGAACACCTCTGCTCGTCTGGAAGATTATTTGATTTATTTTATAATTGTGTCGGGGTGATGCTTCACTTCCTGTAAAATCAGAATAGCTAATTGTTCCCTGAGTGGACAGGTGACAGCTACCCGTGTCAACTGGTCCTGAGGGTTTCAGAATCCATCCTCTACAAGGTGTCTTCAGAGGCCTTCACTGATGTGAAACCACCCTGTGGACCTGGATGTCACACTCCCCTGTGACTCGCTGTCATCTTTCATACTGGCATCCTGACATTGGGACGGTGCTTGTAGAGCCAAGACACATCAGTTTGACCTTCACTCATCAAAATTTCTGTGAACCCTTGACTTTCATATAGTCTGTATTTGTAAACATATAGTGCATGCTCCCTCCCCTCCCGCTCTCCTCCCCTCCCGCTACCCTCCCCTCCCCTCCCCTCCCGCTCTCCTCCCCTCCCCTCTCCTCCCCTCCCGCTCTCCTCCCCTCCCCTCCCCTCCCGCTCTCCTCCCTTCCCCTCTCCTCCCCTCCCCTCCCCTCCCCTCCCCTCTCCTCCCCTCCCCTCCCCTCTCCTCCCTTCCCCTCCCCTCTCCTCCCCTCCCCTCCCGCTCTCCTCCCCTCCCCTCCCCTCCCGCTCCCCTCCCCTCTCCTCCCTTCCCCTCCCCTCTCCTCCCCTCCCCTCCCCTCCCCTCTCCTCCCCTCCCCTCCCCTCCCCTCTCCTCCCTTCCCCTCCCCTCCCCTCCCCTCTCCTCCCCTCCCCTCTCCTCCCCTCCCCTCCCCTCTCCTCCCTTCCCCTCCCCTCTCCTCCCCTCCCCTCCCCTCCCCTCTCCTCCCTTCCCCTCCCCTCCTCTCCCGCTCTCCTCCCCTCCCCTCTCCTCCCCTCCCCTCCCCTCCCCTCCCCTCTCCTCCCCTCCCCTCCCCTCTCCTCCCCTCCCCTCTCCTCCCCTCCCCTCCCACTCCCTTCCCCTCCCGCTCTCCTCCCCTCCCCTCTTCTCTTCTTCTCTAGTCTGTCCTAAGGTAGAAGCCCTTCTCACCTGAAAGCACACTATATGACTGGGGACAAATTGTTAAGAGTGTCATTTGTTATTAGGGCGTCTTTCATCATTTTGTGAAGGTATTTTGTGATTATTTATTTAGTATGAATTAAACACATTGGTAGGAATAGCTGAGTGGCTCAAAAGATATTAGGACAAAATAAACAATTACCAGCTAGCTTTATTATGGGGCTTGCGACCTTTGCTTTAGACTTTCTGGACACTGTTTTTATTTAAAAATTGGTTATCATAACATTACATGCTATTATGGAGGACATAATTTGTGTTGAAAATACATAGCTCATAAATAATCACATAAGAAGGTCAAGTAGACATGTTTGGTAAAAACACTGAGAAGAAAGAGCCAAACGGCAGTTAACAGAATAGGAAGTCCCGAGCTAAATCTCCCCTTTCCTACCTCTCCTGATGAGCCAGGGTCACAGCAAAGGTGTGTACGGGTAGGTGTGTTAGGATCAGGAAGGGAAGCGTGTGGGGGTGAGAGTGTATGCTTAGCAACATCCTCATTTTTACTCTGTTCTCAAATGGGAATTTAAGATATTTTTAAAAAAAATAGTGTTGAATAGTGGTACCCATGCCCCGGTGGATGCCCCCACCCCCACACTCATGTGCATTTGGGTAGCACCAATCAAACCAGTAGGCCAATATGGGAGAGAAAGAAGAGAGAGAAACATTAGCTGGACTGCAGTCTGTATATGAAGGGGATTTATTGGGATGGTTTACAGGCTGCAGTCCAGCTAATCCAACAAGGGCTGGCTGTGAATGGGAAGTCCAAGAATCCAGTAGGCCCGACGTCTCAGCTGGTCCTCAGCATATGCTGGAATTCCAAAGAAGTAGGCTCCACTGCCAGTGAAGGATTGTGCTGGCAAGGCAAGGGCAAGCAGGCATAGACAGAGCAAAAGCTTCCTTCCTCTGTGTCCTCAGACTTCCAGCAGATGGTGTGGCCCAGATGAAAGGTGTGTCTTCCCACCAGGATACGGATTAAAGGTGTGTGTGTCTTCCTTTCTTAAAGGTCCAGACTAGAGGTGGTTCATCCACTTCAAATCATGCAAAAAATCTCTCACAGGTGTGTCCTCCAAAT